GGTGGAAACCGCTGACCTCAGATATGATTTAGATTTTAGATTTACTCAAGCAAATCCCAAAAGACCATAGACCCATGAGGACAACATATGTACAAAAAAATCAACATATGAACATAAAATGTTGATTATATGTATGGGAGGCACAGGTTGTAGCCAATCCTAAATTATTTATAGTGCAATATGAACAGCGTCTAAAAGACCAGTTTGTGCAAAATTGGCAATTAAAGTGTCTAGAAAATGTAAAATTAAATCATTATGTTATGTTTAAGACTACCTTTAAAAGTGAAAAATATATTTCTGTTATAGATATTGACAAATATAGAAAATGTTTTGCTAGTTTTAGAAGCTCTGCACATTGTTTAATGGTTGAAAAGGGTAGGCATTTTAATATTGATAGAGAACATCGTGATTGTATGTATTGTGAATCAATGTTAGAGGACGAATATCACTTTCTTATTGTGTGTTCTTTATATGCAAATTTACGTTCTTACTATATACCATTGTATTATTATCAATATCCGAATGTTCAAAAGTTCTACTCTTTGATGGCAACTGAAGACGAGTCATTGATACGTAATGTTGCTATGTATATTTATTATGCAATGAAAGAAAGGGATAATTTTCTTAAATGTTTTGAATAATTTATATTCAGATTGTATTTTATAATTGTATTAGAAATTCGTATTGCCAATTTGTATTGTATATTGTATACACTGTGTATGGGCCGGAGGCCTCTTGTACAATAAAGATATTGAATATGTATCAAGTATATATTTACTCATTTATTTTTTTGGTTAAATATATAACAGTTTATATGCCACATAAATACATGTATAACAAATAGCACATTATATTAAGTAGAAAGACAAGATATGATTCGATATAACATAAGTGGTTTATACCACAGTAAGTAGGTATATACTTGAAATACAGACCAAAGCTTAAAATTTTAATTTTACTTAAAACACTCGATATAATAATTAAATAAGACTGAAGAAATACATGAAAGTAAATGATAAAATATATGGCAAAATGAAAAAAATATAGGTAGTTAATATAGGTAGTTAAAGTAATGTAAAAAGATCTCACTAAAATCTAAAGATTTAAAATTAAATTATAAATTAAATAAAAAGAGGCATACACTTAATCAAGTCCTAAAACTGAAAACATATTGCTAAAATATTTTAGCATAGAGAAAAAGAAAAACACGTGTGCAACATAAATAGTTAAGAAAGCATGTATTACTGAGTGTAAGCTAGAAGAAGCAGGAAGGAAAATTATTTATAATACGATAATATTCTGCCATATGTAAGCTGCAAGTCACACAATTCGCAGCTAAACTCTGAGCAATTGAATTTAGGCATATAACTTTAGTATAAAAAGCATAATATTTGTGTAAACATAATAAACGTAATAGCCAAGCTGAAACAAACAAAATTCCATTTAAACAGTTCTGGACAGGCATTTAGAAGGCTTTTGAAATGTTCCCGTCTTATGCGTTTAGGTAGTGACTGCCATAGTTTTGGTGAACCAGAAAGAAAAGATTTGTTTCCATACCATGTGCCACGTGTATAATCAATGGCAGCTTACGTGAATTCGAGATGACGGAGAGGGTCGACAGGGCAAAAATAATTAAATATTTGCGTCCAGATTGTGACGTTATAGTAGCATATTTTAAGTTTATTTACGTATGGGTATATTATCGTACTATTTATATGAGCTTTTGGAGTACTTCTGTCTTAAAGTATATTAAAGTCTTGATTTATGCTTGTAAGCAAATATATATTAATCTGGTTTATATTACCCTAAAATAAAACAGTATAAAATCTTTTTAGGTTTTGTCTGAACGAAAATATGAAAAAATAGGCTCGTACTTCATATTGAAAATTGCAAGACGTTCAACGTGCAGAAAACCGATCACGTGATTAAAAAACAACAAGGACTGTGAGTGGATCTACAAAATAACTTTTGATGTAAACATACCAGTAATTTGACGGGGCAAATTTTTCAATTTATGTAAAAGAAGTGATTATTAAAACTCCAGAAAAATAATGTCTATTTCGGTAATAAGAATGGTAATGTATTATGATAGAAAAAGATGTCATAGATTTCAATCAAAATCCCCGAAGAATACCATATAAAACCTGAAATTTATCAACGACTATGTCAGTTATACTTTGGTTTGTAAAAGTATATATTAATCAAAATAATAGTATATTCATTTTATTTTTATATTTTTGTCGATTTTTTATTCTCATCATAAATAAACCGACTTTGACATGATATGATTAAACGACACAAAATGGGTTTTCGTACACATTTTTACCATTATTAAAGATTATAGTTCTTGTTGTTTGTTTGTGGAAATAGGAAAATTCAGGAAAAGTAACACCAATTAATACTCTCAAACATGGTAAAAATCAAAGGCAAAAAGAAAAAAGTTTAAGTAAGGTAAGTTAAAATTAGAAAATTTGCATCAATATGCAGAAGAATATAACTCCATTGTGTTGTAAAATTCTATGAGGGCGGTGACACTTCTGTATTCTAAAGTACAGAATACAAAAACCTGTCCCTGTTGCTTTTAAAAAAAGTACATTGGCACGATCCAGCAATCGATTGCCGGATGTAACTATCTAAATGACGCTAAATATATATTGATAGATGGATGGACAAGGTAAAGCATTATACAACACAACATAAGCTTTATGTTAGCTTTTACTATCGACTGTATATATGACATAATGCATAAGAGTGATACGGATACATTTTAATGTAAACTAAAAGGTTATGGATATGATACCTCAAAGAACATCTATTATTTTAGAACGCGAGAAAATTCGGATATAAAATTCATTTAAACAATTACAAAGTTTAGAAATGGATGTTTACTGCAGAACATATGATAAATATATGAAACTCGTGTTTAATGAGGGTCAATCCGCATAGGACATGCACAGTGAAAATTATGTAGTCTAAAAATAAAACAATGTGTGCCGGCGTGGTCGTGGTTCAAGCCGTTGTTACCTTGAGCAAGAAACATTACTTTCATTGCATAGTTACAGGTTGGTTCTATGAACGGATTCGAGATTGTGCCAATAAGGTTAATTATAGCCTCCAACAAAATCGATCTAAAATTAATTTGTATAAACTAAGCTAAAAATAAAAAATTATTACATTTTAGTTTTAATAGTAAATACCTTTCACATATTTCATATATTTAACTAATTAATTAAGATAAAAATATTGCACTTTATTTAATCAAAAGTTAAGGAATTAAGTGATCTGTGTTTAATAAAACGTAAAATTATTATAAGGTTGTAGAAAAAGCACAAAATCAATGATATATTTATAAATGACTATCACGGTTACGGGCCAGTTTTCAGAACAAATTACAGGACTGGGCCGATAGAGAGTCTGTTAAAAGGAGTTACTGTAGAAGTTGATTCGAAATTGTGAAATGTCAAACGTTTCAAGGATGGAGCTTTATATTACATCATATATTTTGTAATAAAAGTCTATACTTCAAGAAGAAAGTTGTTCAAGATATTTCCATTTTAAAATATTAATTATTTTAAGGTGGCGCGATAGCTCAGTTGGGTTAAATTTGATATAAATGACTACCACGGTAACGGGCCAGTTTTCAGAACAAATTACAGGACTGGGCCGATAGAGAGTCTGTTAAAAGGAGTTACTGTAGAAGTTGATTCGAAATTGTGAAATGTCATTTCAGGGATGTATATATAAATAAACGTTTCAAGGATGGAGCTTTATATTACATCATATATTTTGTAATAAAAGTCTATATTTCAAGAAGAAAGTTGTTCAAGATATTTCCATTTTAAAATATTGATTATTTTAGTGACACTACTAGTGTAATTTTAATTTGACATAACATATACCTGGTTGTTGACATTGCCGTATGAGTTATTAATTGTCTCATTTATTTGCAACGGATGATTATTATTTTGCCATGGATGGCAACTAAGAAGACGGTTAGACGTGAAAGCCACCTTAAAAATAAATATAAAAATATTAATTCCAGATCAACCACCCAATACAGAGACTTTTATAACAGATATTTCAATATCGCTCTGTGTCCGAATAGTATTCTAGATGTGAATCGGTACATTGATAGCACCTTTATACAAATGGCAAAATATGCTTATAAATAAGTCTGATGTGTAATTTTGGATGAATAATATGCTAATATATTCATTTTCATTTTCTCAATTTTAAGTTTTGATTCCGGAATACCGGACCCGTGGATATAGTGTTCGACCAAGACCAACTTCCTTTTCCGGTTATATCTTGTAAGTTTAGTTGCTATTTTCACCTGCCAGTATTAATCTATGTATATCACTACAATCTGTTGGTTATTTCATATATTTACATACTATTTATTTTGCTTGAGGTATTTTCTAAATACTTTATAAGTTTAATGCAGAACGAAACGCTAATGTAATGTGGAGAAGAGAATTAAGTAACGCATGAAAGTAGTATTTTAGATTTCATTTGTGATCGGAATAAACAATTCAACTTACTATTTTAATTTCTTTAGCATACTGTACTTCTACATCTTCATGTTATTGCTTAACAATCAATTCTGATGCAAGACCTGTCGAGGCTTTTCCACCCTATTGCAAGGGGCCAAAATAAGCCATCATTCCCAATCCAAAAATAGTTGCTTTTTTCACCCAATTCTAAAATAAATTCCCAATAGCAGCCTGTTTTAACCTTTTGTTTAAAAGAAATGACATATATCATCATACATATTATAAAGACCCTGTGTGTTGATAATTGTGGAAAACCCTGCCTGTTGATTATTGAAAGTTATTGATTTAGTGACATGAGCAAATTTCAATAGTAACAAGTCGCAAGTCTTTATTAGCAAGAAAGAAACCAATATTATTGTAAAGTCAGGAGTATGAGTGTAGTTACAAATGCTTAAAAAGAACATCATAGTTGCAAAATTTAACTTTAGTACTTACTGCAAGTGCTTGTATCTAATAATTGTTTTGATGAACTTGTGTTTATCTCTTTCAGTTAAGGCCTAAAGATGGCCATTCGACCTTTGAAGAAGGACAAGAAGGTTGTCAAGAGGACGAAGAAGTTCATTCGTCATCAATCAGATCGATATGTTAAAGTGAAGGTATTTAACTCGAGCTTGTTAATGTTCTAAGCGATTTTTTCCCATAAATTGGGAATGGGTCAGTTATTGTGGTAAAATTGTCATACTGTGAATTGCTTTCCTAAATTTTGAATTGTGATTTTATAATTATACAACAACTTAAATTGTAACATTTTCGGATTCACCTTAGGGCCGACAAAATCTGATTTTGACTGACTTGTCTATTTTATCTGAAGCATTTCTCAACTTGTCAGTTTGATATTTATTTTGTAAATTCTTAAAAAGAACTTCCACTTGCCTGTAAAGGCTGGGACAACCTTGGCAGTATGGACAATTGATCTTGCTGTCTCTGCACCCTGATCTTTTCTATTTTCTACCCCAATAAAAAAAAACTCATTTGGTTTACCAAAACAGCTTTATTAGATGTTGATCTTTAAATTTGAAACAAAGGCATTAGATAAGCAGCTTAGATGGTAGGTTGCATCGCATAGATGTGCATGTTGCTGTGTCTTATTGTAATAATTGCATAGGCATATCTTTGTAGAGTCAGTGTGAAGAAATTCAAGAATGGTGCAATTCTATTCTTTGCCACATATGAAGAAGATTTTTTATACCCAAAATCTATATGCAAGTGCGATATAAAAATTTGTTTCTGCTAGTGTATATGAAAGGCAATGATAATTGTCAATAAGGGACATTATGTTAAAAACAATTTTGACTTTAAGATTAAAACTTGTCTTGCTTTGTATTTCAGCAAAACTGGCGCAAACCAAAAGGTATTGACAACAGAGTGAGAAGACGTTTCAAGGGACAATATTTGATGCCAAATATTGGTTATGGTACTGCCAAGAAACAAAGGCATATCATGCCTGATGGATTTAAGAAATTTCTTGTACACAATGTTGCAGTAAGTGTTTCCATTGTTTAACTAGACACTTTAGTCTATTGGAATTTAAATTCTACATTATTATGATTATGATCAAGACTGTGAAGTTGGTGTTAACTTTACTACATCATACATGTGATGAGGATAAAATTTATGATATTTTAGAAATAAAGAATTTGTGTGTTGAGCATTATTTTTACAAATCATTTTCTTGTATTTACAATAGTCATGTACAACAGTAGCCAGTGTTTTGTTAATGGGTTTTGAGGTCTTTGAATTGTGAAAATTAGTGTCGTAATGCTTTGTGAAGGTAGTCTCTATTTTTACACTGTTTAAATGTTGCTGCTAAATGGGTAAACAGTTAAAATTTGTTGTTCTAAATATCTTGAGTAATGAAAAGCAACTGAATTGAAGTCCCATATTTAAATTTCTCTATTTTTTATGTTTTTCAGTCATTGACGTCTTTGTCAACTACAATTTGACATTGTGAATTTTCATTAAAATATTGTGGGGGGAAATTTTTGGCTTTGTGAATGGGGCCATATTGTGCCCCAAAACTGAATGAAAAACACTCAACTAGCAGTCATACTGTAAACATTTTTTTATCATTTCTAATTATTGCCATGTATTGTTTCCCTAGCAAATGACCAGACAATGGTGTTCACTATACAGAAGAAATTTACAATAAATAAACTGCATTGCAAACATCTGTACATTTTTTATCCTGGGTCAAGGGAAATTTATCTCCGTAACAATTGATCTTTTGGTGTTAAGTCTAATGGTCATTTGTCTGTCACTGCTGTAGGATAAGTAAGTAGGATAAGAAGTTGGTCTTTGGTGGAGAAGTTGTCACTTGTTAGTTATCCAGGAAAATCATTTTGGTTGTCATTTCTGAATGATTTTTTTTTCAGGAACTTGAAGTTTTGTTGATGCAGAATAGAACATTTGCTGCCGAAATTGCACATAACGTATCGAGCAAAAAACGAAAGACCATTGTAGAACGTGCACAACAATTGGCCATCAAAGTGACCAATCCCAATGCCAGACTGCGATCTGAGGAGGATGAGTAGACTGGTTTTCTGTGTACATAAAACAAGAAAAATAAAAGAAAAAACTCCACAATGTTTTTGTGTTTTTGTAAAGCAGCATGCCTCTAGATTCTTGCTGATTTTCATGAAAATTTTGAAAATGTACATAAAGTAAAATGTCAAGTGAATAAAGAAGTAATTTTCACATTTATAACAGCCCATGCAATGCAAGTAAATTACTGGAAAGAGGTCAAAATATGCAAAATCAGCCTTTGCTGTCATAGTCATGCAGATAAATACATGTAAATAAAATAACTTCAATCTTGAATTTTTTTCTCGAGTTTGATTTTCTTGAAATACTTGGGCTTATCTGGAGGCATGCAGCTTTAAGAATAAAACAGCTAGTTTGTCCTAGTTTTCCAAACTAAAGGGGAAAAACTGAAGATATGAGACACATGAAAATCAAATACTTCTACCATGAAAGAAATAAAATAAGTGCAACATCCAATACTGAGTTCAAGGTTAACATGCGGCTTTCCTGGCAGTAAATTTTATATCCAAGGTTGCTATTGTACATCTCAAAGACAAATGTTTTGGACATAATGGCCATGTGTCGCATGCACGAATTTGGTCACGTAGATAAAAAGTACAAGTACACTGGTGTTTGTATGGATTTAAACATTATTATACCCCCCGAAACGAAGTTTAGCCTTAGGGGGGTTTATAGGAGTCACTCGGTAGTTGGTCGGTCGGTCCAGCCGTCCATTGCATTTTCCTTGTCCGGAGCATAGCTTGAAGACTAATGGTTGGAATTCAATATAACTTCATACAATGATCAAGTACATTGAGAGGAAGTGCAGTGCACAATAACCATAACTCTATCTAAAGTAATAACAGAGTTATTGCCCTTTGTTACTTTTCCTTGTTCGGAGCATAACTTGAAAAATACTGGTTGTAATTCAAAACAACTTCATACAATGGTCAAGCACAATAAGGGGAAGTGCAGTGCACAAGAACCATAACTCTATCTAAAGTAATTACAGAGTTATTGCCCTTTGTTACTTTTCCATTGCTTTCTTTTGTCCGGACCATAACTTGAAGACTAATGGTTGGAATTCAATATAACTTCATACAATGGTCATGCTCATTGAGAGGAAGTGCAGTGCACAACAACCATAACTCTATCTTCACTAATTGCAGTGTAATTGCCCTTTGTTACTTTTCCTTGTCCGGAGCTTATCTTGAAAACTACTGGTTGGAATTCAAAACAACTTCATACAATGGTCAAGTACAATAAGGGGAAGTGCAGTGCACAAGAACCATTACTCTATCTAAAGTAATAACAGAGTTATTGCCCTTTGTTACAGCATAACTTAAAAAACTACTGGTTGGAATTCAAAACAACTTCATACAATGGTCAAGCACAATAAGGGGAAGTGCAGTGCACAATAACCATAACTCCATCTTGACTAATTACAGAGTTATTGCCGTTTGATACTTTTCATTGTCAGGTGCATAACTTAAAAACTAATGTTTAGAATTCAATGAAACTGCATAAAATGGTCAAGCACAATGAGAGGAAATGCAGTGCTCAAAAAGCGTAACTCTTTTTGGACTTTTTACTAAGTAATTCAATAAAACTTCATCAATGGTCAACCACATTGAAAGGAAATGCAACATACAAGAACCACAACAATCTTTAATTGCCCACAACCATAACTCTATTTCAGTTCTTTTGCAAGGTATTCTTTTACTTGTAACTTCCTCATTTCCGAAGCAGTCTTGCGGGGGTATTAATCACATTTAGTGATAGTTCTAGTTATGCATAGATGTGTTGGACATAATGACTATGTGGTGCATAAGAATTTGGTCCCTGCCTTAAAGGAAGGGAACTTGTAGATTAAAAGTTTTATGAAAGGTAGAAAAGATTTTTTTAAAAGTCCCC